CATAACGGGGTACCCGAGAAAGGCGTTCGATCGGCACGAAAGAGTCAGTAATTCGATTGTGCTCCGTAACAATCGGATGCGGTATGGAGTTGTTTGCCATCATTCCCCCACCTCTTTCCCTTTCACCTTTCGTCCGCCCTAATGTAATAACTCAAATTGTTACAGATATTTACTTTGCAACAGGTGACAAAACGGATAAATTTTCTTCCTTCCTCCGAGCACCGAATAATCAGTGTGTTGACATCATCTAATTTATCAGATGATGTTTTAGGATCACGTCTAATCTAATCTAATCAGGATGAATTTTATAAATTTATATACGGAGCGAGGACCTGCGTTAGTCTTAGTGTTAATAAGGTATTTGTTTAATAAGGATGAAGAATGGGTAAAAAAAGAAATTATATTCAATCCTATAGTCAGATAATAGGAAAAATATTAGATTTGTATTTTATAATATAAAAGCTTAGATAGCAGGTATTAAAGTTGAGGACTGAGAGCTCGCTATATCAACGTTTTGTAGAAAATGTACAAAAGTGTGACGTCATGTGACATTTCAACTCAATGTATAGGCATAATTTAATGAAACGTTTTTAATATTTTTCAAAAATCTACCGGACGGACAAACGAACAAAAAATAGTGTTCATCACTATTCTTTATGTTATATTTCGGGGATTTCGTCCGTAGAAATGTCGCCCATAATTTATATCACAAAAGAACATATTAAATAAATTTACAGATTTACTTGTCTATCATCAATAGCCGATGAACGCATTTATATAAAAGTTATGCTTCTTTAGAACGTGTATACATAAAAAAATAGTTAAACAGTCATTATAGTAATTAGATTATCTCTGAAGTGGCGGGATCCAAGTAACAGACAATCATAAAGTCTATTATATCATTAGAAGCATATTATTATCTTTAAAATATAGGAATCGATTTAACTGAAGATTTCTACTAGATATTTGATGATGAATTATTATTAAATAACATTTTAAAATATCAAATTACTTCACAAATAAAAATAAGTCAAAAAATTTAAACGAATAAATAAACTTGTCTCTACAAACAGGAAAATTTCCGGAAAAATTAAAAAAATGGCAATTGTGAAACCGTCTTTTAAAAAGGGTGACGAATATGATATATGCAATTATCGTGCAATAGCAATATTGTCTGTCATATATTAATATTTGAAAAGGTTATGAATGAACAACTTACTAATTTCCTCACATCAAGACAAACAATTAAAAAATTTTGGGTTTCCAAAAAAATTAAATGACAAGTCATGCAGCTTTTGATGTAGCAAATGAAGTTATGTTAAATGTAAACACGAAGTACTATACAACAGTAATATTCCTCGATATGTCTAAAGCTTTTGATTTTTCATAAAGTACTATTAATAAAACTGGAATGTTATGGATTAAGGGGTCCCGCATTAAACTGGTTGGAATCCTACTTATCTAACAGAATGCAATTCGTAGAGATTGACAAAAAAAAAACACAATTTAGCTTTACCGATCTAAACCAACACATAATAAATGTGGCGTTCCTCAAGGCAGTGTTCTAGGCCCTTTGTTGTTTATGCTGTACATAAATGATTTACCTGACATTACAAATTTTAAGACGGTACTATTTGCTGATGACATTTTCATTATTGTTTCAACGAAAAGTACCTTAGAACAACACAAACTTGACATCACAAATACAATGACATCCATAATTATTTGGCTTCAGAATAATAATCATAACGTAAATTTAGCAAAAACTTGTATAATTAATTCCAATACTTTTAAAAATCAATCAGTAGACGTATCTTTTAATGGACAAACTCTGCAGAGTGCTCCAAATGTAAAATTTCTAGGCTAAATAGTTGATCCTAAATTCAAAGTAGCAAGTGTAAATACGGCTATCATGGCCTATTTCGCATATATAGAATCCATCTTGAGATATGATATATTAATTTGGGGAAAGGGCACTGATACTAAAATTCTGTTTATTGCTCAAAAAAGATGCATTCGTGCTATATGTAATCTAAAGCCGAATATTTCTTGCAAGCTTTACTTTTAAGCTCTCCAAATTTTGACACCACCCTGTCTTTATATTTTAAAAGTTAGCATATTTGTTAAATTAAATACTAAAAAGTTTACACAAGCACAGGATTTGAGCCAAAGATTAAGAAGAAACCCTGAAACACTTGTTTTGAAATACGTCCCTAAAACTCAACGATTTCAAAATAGCAGTTACGCCTTATGCCAAAAAATATATAACAAAATACCCAATAATTTCAAACAATTATCGTTTAACCGATTTAAATATACTTTACGTAAATAGTTATTGGAAATGGCATTTTATTCTATTGATGATTTTTTAAACCATGACACTAGGTAAATTAATACGCCAACGCTATATAAGTTAACACAAAGTTTAATTGCTATATGTAGCTCTTTATAGCTCTTTTATTGTTTTGACGTTATTAATTACGAAATTCCTCATCTTAACATTTATTATTGTGACATTTAATCTTGGAAACGATAATGATTATGGTTATTTTAGAAAATGTTAATTTTGTATAATAATTGTATTTAATTAATTTTGATAATAATTGACCGGTAATGAAAAATTTATTAAAATTAATATTTGCATGCTATCTCTGTATGGTTAAATAAGTTTGAACTTCGTTTTAGGTTCTTAAATTTTTTGTAATTAATTGCTATCAAATTATACCCTATTTAAAGGCAAATAAATATCTATCCTATCCTATTCTATAAACATAGAACAACTAAAACGTAGAGAATTCTTAATGTTTCAAGTATATAATGTTGGAGATACAAACCTTCTACTGTTTTAAACTAAGACAATAATACTATTTATGGCTATAAAATAAAGTACTGCCACTTCAAGAATATAATTAATAACCAACAAAGTTTTTTACAATCTCCACCATAAAATGATGGAACTTATTACGACGCGATTTAAATCTTTCTTATTGCCTTTAAAAGTTAGCTCCTCCACAAATGAGTTTAACTTCGATAAAAACATGGCTCCCGTGGGAAATAAGTGCAGTTCTTGGGTAGAGCATGCCAACCAAACGAAGACGGGTGGATTGTTTATATTTACACGATAGTAGATTGCACTGATTGCACCGAAGGCTATTTTCTTTTAAAAAATAATATTAGAAAATTCATTATTCTGAAAAGCTTTCAGCTGTTACGTCTTTTTATTTGTATGATGATGATACGATTGAAGTTTAGACTACAAAATTTTTAAAGGCTCAAAAGATAAAAGCTCTGTTAGTAGTAAGATTCTGCTATCTGTCTCTAGGTTATATCTCAGTTATGAATAATGTTGTATTGATTGCTAGATAGTTCAAATTATCACATATGATGTATTTCTGTTGTTACTATGACAGAATATAAATATACCAAAGACAGAATAAAATAAATATTTAAGGTGGGCTCTAATCCACGAGTATAAGTCGCAAGTGGCTGGCTTTTTAAAATTTATAATAAATTATTTTTTTAACTTATATAAAAGGAACTTCAAAAGGTCTATAGATATTATTATCAAAGGCTTCTCCTTGCTTTCGAAGGCATAGAAATGGCACGTAATGGCTCATTCATATTGTTCGGTTCAATGTCTTATTGTCATCGGTTTATTGACCAATCAAATGAGCCCACAGGGTTCGCCAGCACACCGCCTGTAGATACAACGGTCATGGGTTGTGGTTCGTTCTCTTTTATTTCTTCCCGCGGGAAAGATCTGGGAGCTGCATCAAAATTATTCAGGAGTACGAAGTTGAAGTGGATCGAAGTTTAATTATATTTTATTAAGTTTGTAAACGTAGATTTAGAGTTCAAACAGCTGTAAAGTTTGTTGTAATTAACAAACTTAACAAATGAGTTATTCTAATTCAATATGTAAATAAGTAGAAGTAAAAGGTGCTAGGTGACGATCAAGAAATATTATACGAGCATTCATTATTCTTGTTAGCCACCATTAACATTAACGGATATACGGAAAACCGAATTAAAATTTCACGCATTTAAAAGTGGGGATCGACGCGTCAAAAACCCCTACGAAGGAGCGTTCAACCCGTAGCACGCAGGCTACGACATTTCGTAGCACACGCAGATTGCACGGTTTCACGAAGTTAAATTCATCGAACGGGTATTTGTAGTAAATGGAATATTTACGAAATTAACTTTTAGCGGCATCTAATGGTTTGTACGCAAACTATCGCGTGAGATATTACTATTATGTAAATGTAGTCAATTTTAACGTTCAATAACGCATTTATGTCACTTTTAGCGTTTCAATTGTTTTTATTACTGCCTAGTGTGGTGATCGCTACAACTAAGCACAGTTTGTAAAGATGTGGATAGATAATAAAATCGTTACCATTATTGTATTAAATATCATTTATTTTCTGAGACAAGAAGATAGTAACAAAAGCCATCGCCGAATAAATTAATTATTAAAGTATGAGCCTCTACCGATCACGCTTACAAAATATATAAAATCCACTTATATTTTATTTAATAGTGAGAAAATACATCATTTTATAAAACGAATATACTATTCTAAAAACTGAATATTTTTTTATGATAATATGTAACGTTTTCCTTGCAAAAATAAATTATTAAGTTAGCTCTGAAATTCTTATATGATTTTTTTATTTAAGTGAAAATTATTAAATCATAAAATGTTACTTCATAGTTAAGGCTCGTTATTGAGCGATTTTATAAATAATCGTAATGTTTTTCAAGCAGTTTTAATGTAGGATATTTTTCAAGTTTTTTATCTCGTACAATATGGTATCATACACAAAACAAATCTTTATCCATCTTTATTTGTCTCAGCGTCTGTTAATTAACATACAATTAAAAATATCCTATCAATACCTATGCATGCGGGCACACGGGCATTACGCGCATACATGCGCATATTAGTGTTAACGACAAAGTGCTCTAAAAATAAAAACATAAATAAACACACTTACCCCACTCAATGTTTTGATATTGTGCAAAGCGTCTTGCGCTTTCAACGCCGCTTTGCGCGTGAAAAACGTCACAAAACAGCACCCTGGAACAGAAGCGCACACATAACATACCGATGACAAAGCACAGACATATACAAAACGGAAAAACGGTATTTAGTACACACAGAACATAGAAGGAGATTAGAATGACGTATTTCGTCATTCTTACGAGAATCAGTGACGTCCTTTTATTTTTCCTATGTTCCGAACGTGGTAATAAACAAAACTGTACATTAAATAGATAACTACTCAGTCTTTGTACTTCTAAAATCTGTACTCGATAATATTGAATATTTTTGTCGTCTATCTGACGTTATTATCCCAAACTTAAGAATTTATACCTCAGAGTCAGTCGAAAATTTATTCGAATCTGCTGCTGGGTCACCTTTACAAGTTCAAAAGCGCAAATTATTGAATTCAACAAGACACTAGCACAAATATATAGTGCATATGCGCAAGCATGAGGACATTCGAGCATATGTGATAGCATGCGCGGAGCTGTAGTATTGAATCACGTCTGCTTGTCCTTTTAGAGTCTGTCATTGTACAAAAGAAAGAAACATGCTAAATACGGGTGCATTAATAATTTCTTCTATTACAGGCACAGTGCCGTTAACCGTTATAATATCTAACGTAATTAAATCTCTCACTAATTTATGCACATTAATCCGCAGCAGTTAGATTACGATTTATATGCTGTTACATACCGCACACTTTAAGGAATGCAATCTCGCGAGTTTGGAGCTCGGACGGGATCAATCGCCATTCGGCAATTTCGAGATCGCGCCGCGAGATTGGCACTTTTGTGTTATTATTGTTGCAAATGATCACAACATTCGAATAAATTAGGCAAAAATAATATGAATTAAATATATTATAAAATAAACATTTATTTTAACGGGTATTGACATTAAAGTACTTAACATTGTTTGACACATTTATATTTTATTAATCTACTACCTTTAAACGAGCAATTCCTGTATTATATTCTTATTTAATATGTTGGGACTTTTAGGGGTGATAAATCAGTTTAGCCAGGTTTCATATGCCAAAAAAGTACAGAGTAAAACTTAGTCATCAAGGTACTAAATTTTAAGTAGTAAACTTTGATATATCTGATCAAATACGAAATGAAATGAACAACCAGCCCTCTCTGCTAATATCAAACAAAATAAAACTAATTTATAAGATTATTTTGAATTGTCTATTAAACTGATGTATTATTATCAATTAAAGAAAACTATGCGCAGTCAGAGATCCATTAGAAGTTAGAGGATAAATTAAAAATACACCAATCAATTCAAAGATTTGTTCAGTTCACCTCACACTCCAATATTAGGAATAATTTTGAAAATAGCTTCATAAGAAGCACAAAATGTCCAAAGAATCGTCTGCTAATCGTCTTTTATAGTTCTGGCCAGAAAACCAGCCGCTGTGAAGTCTCTTTCGGAAACAAAAGTAATGTAAAAGTGTTAAACTTCGCTATTTTCCCCCTGGACTGGAATAAATTCGCACCATACGCCAGAATAAATTATTTTTATGCTCGAGTGCAATCTCGTTAAACTCATGAGATTTATTGATCGAGATCACTCTCGCTAAAAAGGCTGAGATCTCGCGAGAGAGAGAGAGAGATTGCATTCCCTACTACGTTTCTCTTGAGTTGATCTCAAAATAACGACTCCTGTAGAAAACAATGACAATAACATTTGGTCAAATGTTCGTATAAACCTTTCTGATATCCTTCTATGTTCTGTACAAATATACAAAAAACATACCGCTACTTCTAAATAAAAAAGAAGACATTTAAATTCAAACATTTACAATGCATCAATTGAACGTTCAATAAAGCTATGGCTTAAATACAAAGTCTGAAAACCTACTTTCAAGAACAATTAGAAAAAACTTGGCAGCAACGATTTAATTTGAAAATGGTTCATTAATGTTGCTCTAAAGTTAAGTACGTTAGCTAGTAAGTAAGAATTAGCGAGCATTTGCTTCGTGCTTTTTGAATCGCTTGACACGAGTATCGAATAGTGCATTAAAGTAGAAATAACAATTTGATCCTTGATTGCGAACTGTAGTTGAATACTAATATATATTTGTGTACATTGTGATCTTTTATAGTTCAAGATATTACCATGAAACAAATTAAGGTTTCTTATTACGACAAAAAAATAAAACTCAACTACTAATAAAGCTCAATAAACGACGAATGATAATTAAATATTAACGTACAATTAATTCACAATCAATAATTTTTTTTTTTTAAATTGAATGTGGAAATTTGGCATTTTGTTAGTTTAATTCAGATTAATAACTAATAGCAGTCTGTATATCTTTCATCATAAGAATAGATAAAGTTGTGTTACTAAATTATTTGTAGGGAACTTTTAATTTTCAACCTTATCGACCTCGTTAAATGAAACATAAGTTTCTCCATAGATACTCTTTATATAAATAATGTAAGGTTTCTTTAAGTTGAATTCGTAAGGTTTCTTGAAGTTGAAAGTTAGAATTCTTTTGAATGTTCTTTTCTCTCTGTATCGACAGAAAGAAATACAACGTGTGTTTCTATTCAAAGCGGTAGCAACTGAAACGAGTCAAGTATAATATTTATTACAATAAAAAAAATCTATCTAGCACCGTTCACGAGTAATTACTGTCGCTACAATCAATTTCTCTATTAACAGGGATAAGGAATGTTAAAATAAAGCTGTTACAAACATATATTTTTAGCACGATTAATCTCAAGCTGCACATACACAATAGGGTGCATGTTTTTTACAGTGTAAATATAGCTTTATGTTAAAGGAATTCGTATTATTTAAATAATTGTTGTTTATACATTAATAATAGCTAAATGCTATAGAAGCATGGTGGTGTTTAGCAACTATCCCAAATATTTGTTATCGACGGACACAAAACTATTATATAGAATTCCTTCATATCTCGGAATACGTGTTAAGTCATTGGTTCTAGCAATAGAGGTGTAGACACTTTTTTATATTTTTATTTTAGATATACATGAAATATTTTAAAAAAATATCATTCATATAATAAGTCAAAATCTAAAAATAAATTTAAGTTTCAAATTTTCCACTCGTCGCGGCACTCTGAAACGATGTATATATGTTTATGGTTGAATTCTCTAAGTTCCGATATGAGTACGATACGTCACGCGCTGTTTGCGGTCACGTGGCAACAAAAGTAAAATATTGGTTTTTCATAATTAGTTTAAGAAACATTATAAATATAATAAGCATAAAATTGTGCTTATCGGTAATATGGTCAGTTGCACAAACGACCATTACGAGTTTGATGGCGACTTTAAGTTTTAATGAATGTTCAATGGATGTGTGTGCAACTGACCAATAGTATATTAAACAATGCCAGAAAAAAATAATAGGTATTTATTTTTTTTTTTACTATCTACACGCGTATTGTCAATATCCACCAATCTTGGTAGTCGTTTCTTATGTGTGTCATAAACCCATACTAATTCGTTAATATATGTATTTGATTTTTTCTATAAATAATATAATTTCTAGGATAACTTCAAATAAAGGACGTTTGCCTAAATATCTCATGTCAATTATAGTGTACATAATAATATATTTAAGGAGATAAGTAATTGCAGTGGCTCACTAAAACAATCAAAATTAACCTTCTTAGTTCGGAATTGTTTGGCCGGTGGCAACTCAGTTACGAATTTCCAACTTAAAGACTAACTTAAGGACTTAAATTTCGGAATCACTTCTGTAGCAGAGCAACTTTGAAGCTTATTTTTTTTATAAGCTTCATGAAAATTACACGATTAGTCTTTTATTAGTAGACAACTGTGGTTTGAAAACACGTATGCTAAAACTGTAGGCAAATATTATAACCATGATTGATTATCAAAGTGGTACAAGACACATAGTGTGTCCACTGAGGTGGATTCTGAATTCGAGCGTAGAAATCGCAGAATACATTACATTATGATAAGAATGTATAACAGGTTGGAGTCTATAATCGTGCACCATAGGACCTTAGCCCGCCCATCTGCGTTCAAGCGAGGCTCATATTTTACATCATACCGTTCAGTTCAATTTCTATCCGACGCGATCAAAACTAAACGCTAGTAGTTCACGCTACCCTAACAGCCGTTCAATATAGGAGAGCGATTTACATTTCGAATGAAGTCAAAGTTCGCACATACCTCGTTCAACTTCAATTAACTTACTACCAGACTAGACGATCCAGATTTTATGCGAGTAGGCAACTTCGCTTTTGTAGTGTCATACGATGAAATATTGCTAATTAATTGTTCCCCGTGGCGCAGCGTAGTGCATTAAAATATCAATTAGTTTTTTTGCACCAAACGCAACAGTGGGAATTCATTAAGTTGAAAATTTATTTATTAGCCATTGATAGAAAAATGCTCAACGCTTAGTGGTTCTACGAATATTGTGTTTTTTCTCGTTATTTTCAGTTTACGATATTATAAAGGTGCTGATAGATTTGAGCATTTACTTGTAACAGAACATCCAACATACTTATATTGATCGTATTAAACAATGAACAGTCAAATATAAAGCCAAAGATCCGCGGAAATATTTCCACGAATATTCTAGTGTACACTCCTGTAAATGTTTGTCCAAAAATTCATTACATAGGTATAGCAGCAACAATAACAAAATCAAAAGGCAAAAAGCTAGAAGCACAGTTCCGCTAGAATGTTTTCTAAAGAGTTAGCTCATAAATGGGAATTTATGCGCTAGAATGCTTATTACAACTGAATGTTCAAGTCTATTTATTTAAGCACCCTAATATAATAACAATAGGATGACGTCAATAAGGTAAAAGAAAAAAAATACGATAAATGCAGAGCCACTGTACGCTGAAATTTGAAACGGTCGGTTGCCGGGTTGAATACGCAGTACGAACAAAGGGTTTGTTCTTTCATGAGGACTAACAAAAGGTGCTTTTTCAGACAAAAGATGCTTAAACAAAAATAACAAACAAAAATGTCAACATAGAACGAACGTGCATACGGTGGACAGAGTTCAAATACAAAACGACGTACATGTTTTTGTGATTTAGATGGGTGCGCATAATCTTGTATGTAGTCATATAACTTCTGTGTAGCTTTTCCGTCTATTCGTGGTCTCTTGCATAGAAAATTAAACGACCTCCGTGTTCGAGGGGCTCGTACGCCGTTTATAAAGGGTCGCTATATCAGAGGTCCTGGGTTCGATTCCCGGTCGGGTCAATATAGAAAATTACCTTGCTATATAGTCTTGGGTCTCGATGTTCTGGATTTCCATAATATAAGTTCTGAAAGCTACTTAATTTGGGTTCTAAGGCAAATATACTTAATATTGTTTATGTGTATCTGTGATATTACGAGTATCTAATCCGTACTTAATTCATAAATCCGAAAGTAACTTTGTATGTCTGTCACATTTAAATAACGAAACAAACTTTAATTAAATTTGATGCACAGATATACCTTGGGAAAGAATTATTATCGAGTAAAACTGAAAAGATTATTAAAATCTTTATCTTTTAATTAAAAATCTTTAAACAATATCTCCGATGATAAACTAAATGGCGTCCCCTTGTACAATTTTATTTATGAAAAATAAAACATTTCGATGCCACACCACCACGTTTTGTTCATTGGCGTCACCTTTCAAAAGTGTGTTCCCGGATTTATGACAATTTATGTATGTCCACATTCAACACAAAATGTCCAAAATGATTAGATACCTACCTTTAATAAAATTCTTTAAAATCAATCATATTCAAATTAATGAAAACCTACGTTTAAGATGTTTCATCATGGTTTCAGTTTTCTTGTCAAGAGATGACGCTAGTGTTTTAACTTGAAGATTATTTGTGTTATGAATGAAAATACAATATCAATTATATATAATATTCGGTTTATATGTTTCAATTAAAAAATGGGTTAAAAAAGTTAGACACTGTAAAATTTAGAAAAATAAAGTTATTTTACCTTTTTCGTTACTAAAGTGATGAAATCAAATTGTAGCAAAATATGCAATTAATTATCAACCAAACAGATTAATGAACACTTTTATGACCTCCTTTTTGAAGTCACCACATAAATTAAAATAATTCAATTTTAAATTCACTCCTGCTGCGCCGAGTGTAATAATTGAAATTACCCATTCCGAAACTTCCGAAACTCAATACCGGCCATTTTGTGTCAACAAAAACTGCTACTCGTTCCTTCGGCGGCATTGTTAAAATACAAAATTAATTTCCTAAGTGTCGAGTCCTTTTCAACTTTAAGATAGCTTCATCAATATTAATAAACGATTCTGTAGCAAAACATTTTCAGTTAAAATTTATAGTCCATTTCGTTCGGCGACTAGTTCACGGAGGAAATCGAGCGAAATTGCACTCAATTCAAACCTGTAGTCCGTCAACTGTTTTATTGCTTTTTACACAAAAGTTAGTGAAAAAGCTAAAATAATAAAGTTATCAGTGTACAGTTGTTTCCTACAGTTGAGTATAGTTAACATTAAGAACATACTTACAAAATAACAATAACTTGTTTTAAAGCATAATTTTAAATAAAAATATAATTTTAATAACTAAATTTGATAAATTTTTCATTTTACAACGCTATACTAATATTTAATGAAAAATTCTTATAAATCCACCGGCCCCTAGATGGAGATGGATCATCATAGTGAATGCAACATCGATCACATATAATAATTAGAACAAATTTCCATCTAAATCGAAAGTTTAAAATATTTGTAAAAATATTACTTTCGGCTATTTGGGTGAAATACACTCTGTAGTAGCGAAAAGTAGTGTGCTTGAAAAACTATTTGTCATTCTTGTTAGATCTCGAGAAGTTCAGTGTTTTAAGCATTAGTCCGGATTGCGAAAGGTTGTGTGTTGGAATCCCGTCTCGAGGCTTTTACAGCCATTAAAGTGTGTAATATTTCAAAGTATTTTAGTATGGACATCGAAAAGACGATTTGTATATAGCAAAAAGGGAAAGGAAAGAAAGTACGAAGAACATACTGTGCGAAAGATGCCAAAATGGCAGAATGGTAAGATGGCGGCCGATCATGCACGCACGGAACAATAGATATTGTATCGACCTCGAATAAACAAATTATGTCTAGGGCAAGCAAACGATGATAATGGTTAAATTATAATGGCATTGTTTGAAACGAAATATTTAGGTCATTAATATTCACGATAATATTCAAAATAATAATTGACAGCATTATCATAAACAAGACAGAGTCTTAATTAATTTATCTATTGATAACAGTTGTGTTACACCCTAAGGTAATTGACTCATATTTACTATAATACAAATCGATAAGGCAGAAATATTATGAATCAATACACTTAAAAATTTATAATAAGGTCATAATTAAGTTCCTTTTTTTGTTAGTTACATAAATTGAACCTTGAAATGAGTGGCAAAATCTTAGGAAATAGTAAACGCAGAGACACCCGCCACATTAAATTTACGAGTAGATATTTATCGTAGCAAGGTATAGATAAGTTTTCCAAAGACTGAAATAACTGTAACATCTTAAGTGCCATAAGCAGTAATTATTTAAAGTGATTTTAAATTACCCAACTTCATTCGATTTTAAAAACCTTTGTAACATTAAAAAAAAATAACTGAATAAGAAAGTCTAATTGAAAATATCTATAAAATCCTGAGATGTTATTTCATTTACTTCCGGACATAGAATTAACCTTTTGAAGTGCAAGTGAAATTTATATTGTCTTGTCCTATTGTTACGTGTCGCAGCCAACTGGGTAAAATAGCAGTCTAATTAATGGGCGGTTGAAAGGTTAAGACGGCTGATTTAAAAGTCGCCAAAACTTTAATATTATATATTCCTTCGCCAACGTGGCGCTAGCGTCGCTGTGTTTACAAACATTTATCAGCAATGTCAGTATGTTATATTTATAACATTTTACGTTACAATTGGTAAGCGACCTCTATGTTACGAGACTCCAACAATCTCTTTCAGAAATAAAGTTTTTACTTGTAATTATTTTTGATATTAATATTACTTTTTGAGCTGTCATGTGTTATCAACTATTTACCACTGGCAATATCGAATGTATCGTTTGTTTATTTAGTAATATTAACATTACAATAATCGCTTTTTACAATGTCTGTATTTTTATTGAGTCTTATAATTAACAACACTATGTATTTTATTTTATTCCTAATCAATCAATAAATTATGAAAACCTAATTAATGTACAGTTAATTAGTTGGCTGTCTTTCATTTAGCCGTAATATAGAACGTTGTGCTCTGCTACTCAGCTGATCGAAGATCAGCCATGCAATTGAATGGCGCCATTTTATTCAAGGATGCCACCCAATTAGACGGTTAATTTAACCACTTGGCCGCAACATATGGACAATATGTACAGAAGAACTAACCTTTACTCGCGCCGGTGATCTTGTCCCGCAGCACATTAATCTGGTGCACCCTGCCAAACTCTTCGAACATTTGCCGGAGGTCGTTCTCGTCCATACTCCTCGGTACCTGACCCACGAACATCTGGAACATATACGTATGTATGTTATCTATTTCTGATTTTCCTATGGAAATGTTAAAGGAGACATCTTCTTAAGGGTGCTTCGTAATGTGCTTAAAATACCTATGCGTTACTTACTTGTTCCCTTTTACTGTTATGGTACGGCCTTTTTCAAGATTACATAAGGAGGGAATTATAATCTGCTACTCGGGCCAAATTCGGATTGACAGGAATCCATGGTCGCAGATAAAGGCAGGTCCACCTTACAGAAACTCAGCGGAGTTCGATATAATAAGCTATCCCATTACTGAATTTGCAATAATTGTTTGAATTTCTACAACCGTTCGGTAAAAAGGTGTTATCACTGCCGCATCGAGCCTCCTTTCATTATTTAATATTAAACAAGTTTCAATACGCAAAGAGCGCATTGAACCGTGGCTTGTAGTTACACTATTGACGTATACACTGAACTCTGTTTTTGTCGGTTTCCCAATATTTGCCTTTTGGATTCATTGACGTGACTTTAATTAATTACAATGGAACACAACAAAGTACCCTCGCATGTGTATTTACGAAAACATGTTAATTTGGAGCTGGTTATTTTTCAGTTTTCATTTGGTATTCATATTAAACAAAAATATAATAAAAGATATATTCTATAAGTTCGATTGTCTGAAAAAAAAAAATACAAAAACTTAGCAATAATTTTCCCGAGAGAAACAAATCGCAAAAATTACTTTAAATAGTTTTTTTTGGGTCGAATTTACGGCTAACATATTTCATCTTAATTATATGAAAAATATTACAAAAAATTGTCTATACAAAAATCGTTTTTTTTTTGGATACAAAACAAGTTTTTTTTTCTGTAACTACAAATATATGAAATCAAGCGAGTGCATATTTTCTCTTGATGCAAAAGAGAGCCTTAAATTCGCAAGCCAGCCGAGGAAATCAATAAACTGACATGTTATAAAGAAATTAGGGCCAGCACCGGTTACAGGTTTCTAAACTGTAAATTCCTCTACCCGATAGCTTAAATAAATTAAAAGAAAGAAATTGACGTCATCTATTACAGAATGCGATAACTTTTAGTTAATATAGACACAGCGTAAAAACTACAGCGGGACAACGCATTTGAAGTTGTACTAAAAAGTCGCTTTTGGCATTGCTGCATTTATTTACTATTTCTTTAAGCCTTTTTGACATTTTGTTAGTGATAGAACGTTAATGCAGGACATCAGAAATTTAATTAAAAAGTTTAATATTATTAGAAAAATATGGTCGACCATATTAAAATAAAACTGCTTTATTCGTTTTTATTTTAATAAATATGTACCTTTAATAAAATATGTTACTTTGAACGTCATGTTCAATGCCAGTAAATGGTAAATTGGACTCACTACCACTTTGGACCCCACATACCCCTTACGTTCACTGTATATAGACCATTGGTAGACTGGTAAAAAAAGATGTATATAGACTGTGACATAGCAAAGTCATTTCGAACGCCCGAGGTCGTAATTCAGAAAACCTTACAAAACACGCAAAGTTTAACATCAATTCATTCATAGCTTATCTGTCTATCTGCCATTTAAACTAATAAATGTCGAGTTACAGATATAAATATTCGTGCAACGATGAAAGGGAAAGATTAAACGATTTCTGACTAATTGATTCAAAGAAAATAATGACATAAGAAATATTTTAAAGGGTTTGTTTATTGAGGGTTGTTTAATATGTGTGAGGTATAAAATATATATATAATATATAAGAATGAAATAAGTTTTAATTCTTAGAAGCAAAACTTACTGCAAATTTTTTTGTCGCTTTATAACACACTTGAACAATATCTTTTATTTTTATGTTTTTTAATTTATCTTAATCTTATTATATTTGATAAATCTTGCATTCACAATGCTATACTGAAAAATATTCTTAAAAAGTAAAAAGTGCTTGAAAGATTCGTCAGTCCTGTTAGGTCCTGGGTAGCTCAGTGGTTAGAGCAGTCGCCCGGATTGCGAAAGGTCGTGGGTTCGCATCCCATCGCAGGGTGCCAGGGACCAAGTGGATTTCTTAAGCATTTTTCATTATCTTAATCTTAGACCTATATTAAGAGAATTTTAAAAACAAAACTAGTCTATTATCTTTTGTAGTCCACCATATTGGTTTAGATTTAGACGTGATTGTTTGCGAATACTTAATTAAAAGTAGTTTTCAACGCGCAGTACGCCATTTTATATTCTTATATCTATCTCTTTGATAGGCGCGCCGGTGTCGTCTCATTTCTCTTTTATCTTGAAGCTTAGCCGATAAGTGATAAAAGAAAAGATTATATTATTATTAGCTATTATCCCGCAACTTCCCTGGTGTAAATTACAGCGTATGTTGATGTATAACATACATTTCCGTAGATGATTTTTTTAAATTGACTCAGTAGTATCGGAGCTTACTCAAACAATCAAACGACCAAAATCTGTCGTCTTTATCATATTAGTCCTATAGATGCAGAAAATCGTACTAGAAAACTTTACTATTCTGTTTGTGATCTAATGATACGTAGCGAGTTCTTCTTCACCTAACTTCATTTTACGCATTGCCAAATCTTACTGATGCGTGATATGATTCTTGATCAACAACTGTTGTTCCCGAACCCCTCACTCTCGAATTCTGTACTTTTAAAGAAGCAATTACACACGCAAAACGGTTTTTGGTATGAGGCATGTGTTTTATTTTGGGTTCCTTTACATTCCAATAGCTACAGCGACAAATAAACTATATATCGATGATCACAACCCGGTACACTGTCAATAAAATATAAATTTATATTGCTTTTTTTTTGTAAAGAAGAAAATGAATTGCAGCTTTTCATATACCTATAAAACTATTTGTTTTTAAAAAATTAATGAACCCCTTCTTTCTTATATCCAATTAAGCAGCAAACATTCATTATCGAGTAAAAATCGAAATACACGTATTTCTTGTGTACTATAAATTTAAAAAATACTTGTACAATTTTCATTACTAAACTTCGAATGACGCTTGAAGTTTATAATAACTGTTTAGGATTTAAGAAGAAACTCTAACGTAACACAATGACCGAAAAATCTATAAACAAATGTCGGCGATGTTACCCGACATAGCGCAAACAAATTATGAAACATCAATAATCAAGTTAAAACAAGTACCTACGATAAGATATCCAAGTATAGCACAAAATAAGCTTTGATTAAATAATCATTGTCTCAAAACAAATTCAGTTATATCATATCACATATTTAATGTTCCGTTGTCTCACAACTCTCTCTTCAATGTCTATTTAAAGAATGAACTAGTTGCTTTGTAATGCAGTAAATTATAGAATATGTCACAAAGTATTTTTAAATTAAATCTAGTAGTTTCTGGATCTATTTAATGTTAACAAAGAAACAGTGATATCTTTCCTCATTACAATATTAATTACATAGTACAAAACAAAGTCGATCTTCACCGTCTGTATGCAAGGTCTTTTAAACTACACAACGGATTCTAATGCAGTTTTCATCAATATACAGAGTAACTTAAGAGGAAGGTTTATATGTATAATACAGATCATGGGGTGAAGCCGCTGGTGGAAATCTAGTCAATTATGTATATATTTCTGCAGATTACCCCTACAAACAAACAAACAAGGTTAGAAACTTTACCTCTTCATAATATTAGTATATATTTCAATGACACGCTATTTCTTTCCCCCTATTTTGACAGCATTTTCTCAATGTTCTTTTCTGTCGTAACAATACTGCAATTCAATTATCGTAATTGTTATCTTAAACTTAATTGAAATCTTATCTTATTTTCATAGTCAGAATATTTTTCGATATATCGAATACAAAATAATAGAAATACTTCAGTTTAGATTATAATATTGCATAATCTAAGATATGCATCTAAAATTACTAACTCTACAGTAAAATGATTTGACGCATTTTTATGTGTTTTTACTTGGTTTTCATTTATAATATTTCATATTTTTCTGTAGTAATTTCTTCATACATTGAATGTTCATAAAAAGTAGAATTACTATTTCCTTGAGAAAAATGAAGTAAAAAAGAATAGACGAAATGCATAGCCAAATAAATAAAACTATATAGTAATACTGTCAATTCAAATGACGTTATTGAAAAAAAAACAAATTATTATGACACTAACGCCATCTATTGGTTGTATTAACTTATAAATTTGTTTCTTCTTTCAATATAAAGAGGGCGGTTATTTTAATTCAAAATGTCATTCAAGATAAAAGCGGTTCAATTAGCTTGGTGTCTGCGTTAGTTACATTTTACAGTCAAGAACACAGCACAGGTGCATCGAGAAACAGTGACAGAGGGTGAGAGCGCACGCGGTTGCCGCCGGGCGCTTGTATGATGCAAATTAGTCTTTATGCAGAATCGAGTTGTCTGAAGTTGAATACCTTCAAGTTAATGTGGTACGTATAATACATTAATTATTGCCAGTTGGTAAATTTTAGAAAATACTTTTTAAGGTGCTAACTTTATATATTTATGACGGGAAAATTGATGTAACTTCTTTCTTTTCATTAATGAGTGAAGAGGTACTTTAATTGAATAGAAATTAAAGGATTATTATATTATAAAGGATTATTACTAATGTTATTAAGAGAAAACACTAATTTGTTTGTTTGCACCGAATAGGCTTCGAAATTATTAGACGGATTTTAAAAATTCTCTCATCTACGCTGACATAGGTTATAATTTACGCGGCCGAAGTCGCGGGAAAACAGTAGAGATATAGTATAAAATACTAGAGACGCCGAACCTCTTTGACTTTTATTTGATAAATTTCCTATTCGACATTGAAAATCTTATCAAATTCCATTACGTGGATTAAAGGGAGTCAAAAAGCATAGAAAATGAGGGGCGAGTTGTTGTGATTTATTAATTCGGTACAATTAAATAACGTTTGACGGCAAAGACTACATTGAAAACTGGTACAACTATCCGTAGGTACAGTATAATAAAATTTTACCTTTCAAAGATATTTTGACAATTTAAATACTGCGAAGAAACCGAAACGGGGTAATTCGCAACAATGTAATACTGTGTTTATGGTGGGATTGGAAGCATTATTCATTATGAGCTGTTACCGCCAGGCAGGACCAGCGATTTTGAATTATACTGCCAACAACTGATGAGATTAAAGCAAAAGTTAAGAAAAACCGACTTGCTTTAATCTCATTAGAATTAATCTATAGAAGGGCTGTGGTTTTTTATAATGATAACGCTAGACCTCACACATATTTTGCGACTCAGAAAAAATTAAGACAATTTGGCTGGGAGGAGTAAATGCATCCTCCGTATCCTGATCTTGCATCTTTAGATTTCCATATGTTTCGGCTTCTTTAGAATATTTTAATACTTTAGGCAGTGTCATGTTAACATCACGAGGGGACTGCCAAACCATTAGTCCCGGTTTTTTGATCAGAAACCCCAAAATTTAAATATAGCAATGGGATCATGTCCCTACCTACAAGATGGCAAAAGTTATCGAACATAATGGTACCTACATACTTTAGTTAAATATAGATAAACTTTATTAAAAATGTTTTGAGTTATCATATAAAATGCGAAGAAATTTTTCCCCTGACCTATTATAATAAAACCAAGTATAGTATCGTGAAAGCAAAATTAATGAAATATAATAATAAAAGGCCATTACCTTGATATAATCGGGGTCAGGCATGTCTGGTTTCTCCTCATTGTTGTTGTTGTTGTTGTTACTGATGTTGTTGTTTAAGCTGGTGTTGTTGTTATTGTTGATGTTCATACTCAGCCCACTGTAACAATGAACACGTATATTAAGCTTAAACAGCGGGGAAATTGTTAAAGTAGACATCTGTAAGGGTAATTCTTTCTTTGTATATTTTATACAAAATACACTGAACTGCAAAAGTATGTATCACACTTTTGAAACCTATTTTTTTTGTAATCTATATAAGTTTAGCGATTTAAAATAAATACCATGTTATAGTAAATTTTATCAGCTTTATTTACTTTATTTTACTAAATTAAATTCTTTTTCGAGTCCTTTTTATTTCGATAGTGTATCTTGTGTACTTAAAAAGTTATTGCCATTTTAAAAGTGTGATACTTAGTTTTGCTGTCCAGTGTATATATGTTACAGAACATAATCAGTATTCTTAAAACGTAATGGAGCGCCCTGAATCATTATAATTGTCATAAAACATACAAATTACAAAGAAACTCTGAAGAAAGCTCGTTGTTTTATTATAATTTATTGTATTCAAATATTGTCTAATCTTTATTTTTAATAATTAAATTTCTTCCTGTAAAAAAATCAGTCAAGTAAAAGTCGGACTCATGCACGATGGATTCTGTGCGGAAAATGAGCAAAAAATTACCTTTGATGTAATAAAACCCTATCTGGGTATTAGCTGACTTCGAAAATAGGATACTTTTTATCCCACTAAACATTTCCCTAGGAATTACGCGGGCGAAGCCGCTGGTGAGAGCTAGTAAGTACATTTTCAAGCGTTAACCTGTTATCGTTATCAAGATCGAGCAAAAAACAGGCAAAAAATCACGTTTGTTGTACGTACGCCCCTTTAAATATTTATTATATTATGATTTTTAGTATTTGATGTTGAATAGAAATATATCATTTGTGAAAATATTACTTCTCTAAGTTTCATGATTCATGAGATACAGCCTGGTGACGGACATACAGACAGACAGTGAAGTCTCAGTAATAGGGTTCTCGTTTTACCCTTTGGGTATGGAATCCTGAAAACTAGCGACCTATCCCAGCTTTCGCGTGGGTAAAGTTTACAAGTACATGTTATTAAGTTCCATTCAGCATGCCAGTACGAAATCTTATTGTATTAACTTAATTTCAAAACTTTCTTAAGGATCACTCTGTTCATCAGTGAAGATCCCATGAAAATCAGTTCAGTAGCTTTCGAGTTTATCACGTTCACTATATGTAAATATAACAATGTATTAAATTTACCAAAAGCAATATGTATCAAACAATATAATACACATTCGGTCTACTTGACGATTTGTATCATAAAGCAGCATAATTTCCATCAGAAAAAAAAGAGAAAAACAAAATAATAGCATCACGTTCCAATTTCAAAATAAAAATTATCATACGACAAAAACCTTTTTTCGGGCGATTAAATCAAAACAGGACTGTTAATAAAGGGGTAAGAGGAGGGGTTACATATACGAGCGTTAAAATCTTTCAATCGTGCAAATAAACATTTTTTTTTTATTGTATTCAACGCAAAGAGTTAGCGCCCATTGCTAATCTCGATAACGCGTAAATCAACCCTTTTTGGGCAACGGTGTCCGTCCTTATAATCAAATCAATTTATCCCTTATTTATTTTATGAAATCAAACGGATGGAGGATGATACATGAAAAGATTATAGTCAACGCAAAAAAATTAATAGTAGCTCAGTGGTGTAGTAGAAAGCACCGCGGCTCGCGATCGTTGTTGTTGAGCAACTCTCAAGTGTCAACGGTCAGTCGCGAGATGGGTGACCAAAAAATTATTATGTGGATCTCCGCCGTGCTTCAGAAAATGTTAAACGTTGGTCCCGGCTGCATCTGCAGTCGTTAATACCCAATCCGCACTGGGTTTCATGGCCCATATTTCCTATTTTCGATTCAATTTTATTCAATTGATAGGGAAACCCTGTGATGCCTCAGCTGTAGAGCCATTAATAGGCTGATAATGATATTACAAGGTTTCGAATAATTTTTTGGTCACCCATCCTGTGACTGGCCATTGCGAAAGTTGCATATCAACTCATATCAGAGACCGAGCGCGCCAACCACTGTGCCATCGAGGTTCTCCACCTATCCCACCCGACACCTTCATAGGCATTACCAAAGTATATGTAGGTAATATGAGTTATAACGTTTCATAATACGTATATTGCACCAATATGTACCTTATTGTTCTAGAAAACACTTCGTTCCAACGCTGTTCGTATTTGTTTGCCATGACGGTATCACTGATAACGGTATACATCGCTCGATTATAACCTGTTCTTATCTCTTATCAAACTTAATCAACACACAACCGAACTACGTATGGAAACGTTTCACTGTTATTATATTAACTTACAAAATTCAAGACTCTTTTCCAATATTAAATAAGCATTATTTACAATAATACACTCACATAAAACGCACATGTGAACTGTAAAATTTGTACCAGGAAAATGTTTTGTGTACTCGAGGGTAGTTCGCGTGATATTGGTTTAGTTTTACCCTCAAAGCATTAGCATTTCATCCAATCAATTATTGAAAATGAATAAGATGTTTTAATCCGCAAAAATACAGTTAAAAATGACAGATACGGATCTTTGTTCTTACTTGGATATCCGCGGATAAGGATATTAGGAACATCACTTGTTAAAACAGACACTGTTAAATGATACAAATTGGAACGCCGTGAGGTGCCAGCCTCCTAGTTTTAAATATTTATTACTATTTTTCACATTAGCTATATTGCCAATTTAGCAGAATTCAGACTCTGGTTTTTGTCGTGCATTTGTTTTGCATTAAAATTGTAAGGTTTTCTCATATAATTAAATGTGTTTTTGTGTTTAAATAAGCAGATATTGTATAAGAATTCTTATAACTTTATAATTTGTATACTTACAAAAAGCAATCTGTCGAGCAGACAGAATCAAAGAGGAACAAAAGAAGAAGAAAAAAAAATATCTATTTTTAACCAACTTCAAAATCAAAAAGGAGTTATATTTTCAACGGCGATGTATGTTTTTTTTTATAACAGACATAAGGAATCTTATTACATTAGTATGTACTATAAAATTTATCTTTTAACAAAATATATAACCATCTACGAGTAGCTAGATAAACAAAGTCTGCTTAACATTCTATAGGAAGTAAACTGAAATTAGGGCTAAAAGATTTCAAACTTTTATGGACGTCGGAAAACTAATTAAACCTACATTGATGGATGAACGCGCAAACTTTTTAGGCTGTTTGAAACTAATTTAATAAATATGTAAACAATCTTTTGCTAAGGTTTTTATTTTAAAAATTGTTTTTCCTTCACAAATTACATTTAAAGGCGAAATATTATAAACGAGAAATTCAATTTAGAATACAGCAATAATACAAGATTACAGTTACTAAATGCAGACGAAATTTGTTACGATACACATTTAGTGGATTTTGATATAATAAAAGCTTGGCTGGTATTCTGGTCTGGCGCTAATCCGACTCGACGCCTGATCCCTTACCATCAGCCTACGAATATTCAATATTTTATTTCAAATGTATAGTCGAAAAGGAGGTCGCGACAAAAATGTGCAAGAGCTTGATATTTCAGTATGTTGAAGTACTAAGGGTATACACTCAGTTCCCAGTGCAGAGGTCAGGTGCTGGTCATTGATCCGACCAGGAAACGAATCTACGAATCACTCTGCTACACTGAGATTGTCTAAGAAATGTGAACATAAGGCCTTATAATTTAAAGAGATCTCTTTGAGGTGTGGTGTTAAACCAGAAACTATCTAAAGATGGGGTAGTGAACGGTGTGGTTATCATCATCACCAGCAATAGGACGTCACCAGCCTTTGACGTAGCTTCCCGTAGAAGAAAGACTTATTGTATTCCGTCCAGTAGTTACGTAGCATACTCAATGTAAACAAACAAATCAAAGAAATATTTATATAGGTTTTTTCTAAATTAAATATACCACACAGAGAAAGGCATGATCACTAACTAGTAATAAATATGAAATCAGTAAACCATACAGGCTTCAATAAAGTAATATCAGCTAATCAGCCAGTTATCTATCGATCGGCTCAATAGTTGGTTCGCTGTGTGATGAAAGGGTTGGATTAGGGTCCTACCAATATGTTTATATTAAATAGATAAATCCCGTTACCCCTGCCTTTTTGTTATCATCTACAAAAGGTATATACGTTCTAACGGTCTCATTCTTCTTATCTAATCGACATATGTTTATAAGAGTCTTTTTATGAATAGCCAGCTAGCTGAAATAGAGAACTTATGCCAAAATAAAAATTTCATATTTTAAAATTCTTTATAAAATCGGTATAATTGTTACAGTAGTTTTCAGAGTTTGCTCGTTATAAAAAAAAGACAAATTTTTCCTATCTATACTTTTTAATTTAGATTTTCATTAAGATTTTGGAATACAATTCGAGTCCTCATTGTATAAAAAATGAAAAAAAAAAGTCTTTTAGTCCGTCCTTATGTCTATAGTTCTTGTCACTGGTAAACTACGTCGAAATCACTAAACCAATTGAGTATATGTGCACTAAACATAAACAATTATGTACAGTCAACAGCACGTCAGATTATACAAAACTGTCAAATATAAATGCATAATTTAAAACCACATTGCTTTGAGGGTGGAGTTCAAAATCGATAGAGTATACTCACAGTAAATTCAAAATAAATAGGGGGTGGCAAATTTAAAAATAAATCCAAAATATAATACCATATCGTCTGAGATAACAAAAGTGTTGAGAGAACCTTAGGTATTTTTTTTATAAATTTAAAACAGTTTTGAAATTCACAACTTAAAGGGCCTCATCACAATAACAACAGCTTATTTCACCCACTTAGAAATAAATGATACAGGCTCTACTCCTGAGATGGGGTCTAAGTTGAGCTCGATGTTTTATTTGCTTTTTTATGCATTTTTGTTGAATGTACAAAAATAAATAAGTGTGGTTAATAAACACTTTTTTTACGTTAATTTAAAAAAATTAAAATATTCTTATTTCCGGAACTACTGGGAAGTTTATATGTTTTCAAATTTTGGAAATATAGAATATTTGCAAAAAAATTACATAAACTATACTGTCTCACAATATTACCCAAAGATGCATATAGATAGATGTAAAATCACTCGTAAAACAGCTGAAATGATTGAAATGAAATTAGATATTAACAAAAAATGAGACACTGGCATATGAGATAAGGCATAGTTTTTATCCTGAAAATCAGACTATTGGGCCAGATGATGATAATTTATGAAAGATGATGAAAAAATAATAGTTTATTATAAGAAAATAGGCCAGATAGTGGTGACGACATACAAAGCCAGGCACCTTATCAAAGTGAAATGTAAATAATTGCTTTGTTTGCAATACCGCCACTCTGAATGATATCGATGATACCCTAGTTTTTGGGCTAAAAATATGGGAAACGATTTTGTTAGATTTTTATATACACATATTATAAAAGTCACTGGCCGCTGTCTGTACTGAGATCTGTTAAACTTCACAACGGATTTTATTTCATTTTTCTTCAAGACAGAGACTGATTCAAGAGGATTTTAATATTTATAATTCTGGACTATGGGCTGTGCGGGCAAAGTCGCTGGCAGGAAGCTAGTTAGAGTAATATTAAAATATACTTCAACTCATAATGAAAAAGAATTTCCAAGAATAACCAAAAGAACATTTAAGCAAAACCTTGCTCATGTATTAAAGTATAAGAGATATCAGCCGACAGGATAATGACAGGAAAAACGATTAGCTTGGTACCCAGTCGAGATTTGATTCTCAAGAAAACTATTGAAATTATTTGTTCTTACATTGTCTTTTTTATTGAATTCTACACAATGAAGAGAAAAACAACCTGCATCCATATCTGCTATTATTTAAGATACATCATTTTTATATCGTACTATTATTGAAACAGCCATGATGATATACGATGATGTGATCACGACATTATCAAAAATATTGTTGTTCAAAAACAAAATACTTTGTATTCTGAGTAAATTTAAATTTTTTGTAACAAGATGGTATTTTACAAAAAATACATGAGCATATCTGATCCAATCTGATGTAGATTTAAAGCATGTCATGTTGTGATATCAACTAAGATCAACAGCTTATCGTGGAATGCAATGTACAGCGGACGTACACATATGTGCGTCACATAATTTCTTAATAAAAACTAAAATTGTATCTGTTTCACTGTATCAGAGTAAAGTAAAGTAACAGAAAGGTTGTATTACTCTGAAGATTATTACGTAATATACCATACTATTAATAGATCACCAATCAGGGAAGAAAAAAATGTAACAGACAATTATCTGAGAAAAACCTCTTTGGTTATATCAATCAGATAAGCCATTAACCTGCAATTGAACATAGACCAGAAGAAAGAAACAGTGGTTTAGAAAATATAATAATTCTATAAATAGAAAAGATTTGATGATTGTTCGTTTTCATCGAATAGGTTCTGAAATAACTGGATTGCTTGATTTTAAAAATTCTTTCACCTGCAGGGTAATTACATAGACTATAATAAGCGCAAGTGAAGTCACCGGAAAACAGCAAATAATTATTAATGAAACCAAAGTGGGACGAGGGAGTCCTTTCACTTAACACAGAACATTTTATATAGATAAGCTCACCTGCTGCAAATATTTGAACGCTTAGATTACGAGTGCCTAATATATATCCCGATGTCAATGACATCATATTTGTCATCAGTTTGATGTCATCATTTTACGCAGAACATAATCCAGGTGTGGTACTTTATACGAGAAGGACATTTACAAAACTAAGGCCTAAAGACAGCTGCAACTTCTAGTCGCACCTTTCTTTAAAGTATTTGAAGTCTATTGCAAACTATTAACTAGAGTTTACCTTAGCAAATATTGAATGAATAATGAATAAACACTTCATTGTACACCACAAAGAAAACATGAATACAAGCAAAATATTTACAGTACAATTGGTGGCGTTATCGCTAAAAAGTGATTTCTTCCAGGCAACCGTACTTTAGACTGGATTGATTGACATAATTGGTGGGTAGCATATGGTGCATTACAAAGTAAGCAAATTTATTATTATTAGAGCAAAATAATATATAAGCTATAAATTTAATATATATTCAAAACATATATACATAAATACACTAAACAATACATACATACATACACATATACATACATAGAGCAACTTGGATTATGATCTATGTAGGTACATGAGAAGTCAAGTAGTGTTCCTTAATTAGTCTCTTAAAAATATGTAAAGATTGCGCGCGTCTTATTTCAATTGGCAAAGAATTCCATAGGCGGACTGCTTGAACTGAAAGGATTTATCACAGAAACCAGTGGAGTGCTCTGGCATATCCAACCTTAGATTCTCTGACGACCTCAAGTTACGAGCGTGATATTGTTTGTTAAACTTTGATTTTGATTTGAAGTTCATATATAAATGTATGGTTACCAATCAGGACTTGTCTATTTATCTATGAAGGTTTCATTATCTTCATCTGAAAAAATAATATATATATCATTGTGATTCGTTAGACAGGTATTATGCGTTTTACAACAAGTGACTGCTTATCTTAGATAATATCCAACAATAGCCTTATTACAAGCACAACAGGCGAAGACACGTGAGAGTTCAGCAATTACATTTAAATTTCTCATTACTAGGTTATATTATGATAATATTTTTAGTGTAAAACTTCTCAGAAACCAGTAATTTGTAAATTACGATTTGAAAATGAAAATTTAACAAGCACTGACCTTTTAGACACACTTTCAAACTTTTTATATAAAAAGTGGAAAAAATGGAGTACACTGAAAAGCAAAGTGAGTTTTTATAAATCAATTTAATATAATGTATGCCAATGTGTCGATATATGCAATAACTACTTTGCTATTCAGCGTTATCGGATGAATTAAATTCAATGGTTTACTTTTCTATAACGTTTATATTCGTTGTGGGGAATAATAAATCTGTAACTATCTAATGATATATTAGAAATATTCCCCTCTAAATGTGGCATTATTTTTGGCATTTGCAATTTACTACAGCCTGCTTCCCATTGGCAACATTCCGCAGTAAAGTCTTGAGTATCAACAAAATTGCGAAGGGCGAGCGCGGCTAAGGGCCATTGTGACCATCTGTCGCTATATCTAAGATACTGTCTGTTCGCTGTCTTCATTCGAGCGTCTTTTTACAGAAATAAGCTCTAAAAATTGCTTTAAATTCTATGACATGACTTAATCATAATAAAAAGGAAAAAAGAAACTGAATTCTTTATCGGTGTCGCTATTTCTGTATCATTTTATGAAATTCTTCGTGATGTTACTCAGAATATAAAATGATTCCAAGATGGCGGAGAACGTATAAATTTTTTGGAAGATATGGAATCTAGTATCTAATAAAATCACGAATTCCTCTAGAATAACTCCTCGAGTATAATAATACTTTTTATAAAATGTGAGAAGACTATCCAAAATAATAATCATAAATAAAGTTAAAGAGTCTGGAAAGTTAGTTTAACACATTGTACGAGTATATATAATTTTTCATTAGCAGAAGAATTATAAAAGAATAATTTGATGTGTGGCTATCGGAGTTACTTAACTGGTAAAAGTGAACCTGTAACATGAAGTTTAGTAACATAAAAAACTTGAAGTTTACGCAAAGCGAACAAAGTTTCTAACGAACGAGGAGAGGATAATAAAAAAGTTAATAATGGCCCGCATTGAAATCGCTAACTAAGAGGACGTTTATGTTTCTTTGTGGATTTTACGTTTGTTTTTGTGAGGCGTCAAGAATTTAGATCGCTCCCTGAAAATGGGCTATTTGTTAGTCAGAAAATGCCAAGTGTGAAATATGTTGAGAAAATATATTTCAATTCGGTAGTGAAACTTATAAAAGTGATTAGAATTATATAGAATGTTGCTCTCTTTCTCATTGCGAATCAAACAAATGTATGATATTATATTGTCACATTCTCATTTTTACAAATATTATTTACGGATACATAACATTTTATACAGAAAAGAGATAGAAATGCACGCAGTAATTGATGCATCTTAAGGAAACGAAAGTAATGCTATGTTGTCTAAATTTATGATTACAACAAATGAACACTCAATAAATTTGCTTTAATAAGTCTACCCAAGTAAACAGACGTAAATTCATATATATATATATATATTTAAGAATCGTATAATACCTTATGAACTTTAATCTGCTATAGTAAATATCAAAATTATTTGTTCGCTAATTGGGAAGATGGGAATTTCCCGCAAAAGCGTTCACTCGAACTAGACCTCATTTTCTGTTAATTCAACTTCTATAACAGAAGACGCTAAATCATATTAACTCCAAGCTGAAAAGATATCAATTACATATAAATCAGTCTTAGCACTTGCAACTTCGGGTAACAAAACTAAAACATTTGGTCAATTCATCGTACATTGCTGGGTTTTCATGTACTACTATTACTACGCATCTGCACGCCTGTCAATGTACGAAGCTATATTGTGTATGTATGTAAATTAGTTGATGTGGATGTTAAGAAAGGTGTGCAAACTTACTTCGGCTTGGTGTACGGCGAGGACGGCGACATGTTCCTGTGATTCTTGTTCGGCAACGTGTGTCTGTTAGCATTTGAGTCTAGGCCGCCGCCCGGCGATATTTTGCCGGCGAGTGCGTTCAGTGAGTGCAGCATTGCCGGCGGCGGCCGCTTCGTGCTAAGCGGCCTGGTCACGCTGATGACTCGACTCCGTGTGTCGAGGGCCCCGCGGAGCGCCACGGTGCCTTATCTGCTGATAAGAGGCGCGGGGGCCTACCCGCCCCCCGCCTCATCGCCACCTGACACTCTCACACACGCACTGATGTTTCCTTTTTTTATATTGCCAACACTTTTTCAAAGTCCGATTCGGGTCAGCGTCCTGTCCGGCTGGGGCATGCTTCCATATCTAAGATTATATTTTACTTCATTCACTTCGAAAATTTTAACGTCACTTATTTATCACTCTGAATCAGCACTGAACTGCTGAAATCATTACCCAATTAATATCGTTGCGATATTTCGACTCAAATATTCAATAAAATAAAATAATATTTCAACAGTGAATAATACATATGTCGATTAAGTTCATTTTTGACGGTCATAACTCAATGTAGTTATTTCACCTGTGACAATTTTGAATTCATTTAATTACGCCTGGTGGAAAATTATAGCAATATGAATTTGTCGTAGCCTAATGAAACAATTCAGCCGCAGGCATTCTGGAGAAAAACCTGTTATTCTGAATAGATTAATGGAATAACAAACTATATTATGATTGTCTACTAACTAAGAAATGATTTTTGTGAAAGTCAAATCGCCCTTTATTTGACTAAGAAACACTTGTCGCTTACGTCTGTTGATATTTATATTGACCTTTAGATACTCTGTTTCTGATAGGTGTATATAGTGCACTTAACCTTTTATGTTATTTTTTACTGCGAAAAAAATATCAAGGCAAAGAATTATTAAAGCTTGTCAAAAAAGATGAATAGTTTCATTAGAACTTTCAGCATATTTACGTTACTAAATGCTAAAGGGATCAAGAAAAGTGGAAGCGCTAGGTAGGTTCACTAATGACTGCTTATCACCCTAGTCGTTAAATTAAGTGGCCTACGAGATGTTGAGGCATGATTACACGGTAGTTCCACTTTTGATGTATCAGGAACTTTATATACGTGTGTGTGTGGGTTAAGATTGACTAGTTTCAGTCGTTAATTTTATTACAGAATGGACCCAGGACGCTCCCTTGAGGAACCCCGTGGTATATACATGTCAGTTGCTAATGCGTGGCACGCGGTATGGTCTTGGATACTAATTGCTCGATTAGTGGAACGCTGAATTATTTACTCCACAGTCTGTCTGATGTGGGTCAATTTGAATGACTCCCGCAGGTAGGATAAGTTATTAATAGTACACCATTCATAATGTATGTAGTTGTTTTAGATAAGATTTTAATAAAATACAGAATTGTAATAAAAAAATAATTGTAAATATTGATTAAAAAAGATCAATAATTTATGTTCAAATATAAAAAATAAATTCATTATAACTAACCCACAATGTAATAGTTCAGTTTCTCAAAGATTATTTCTAAGAAAAATATTAATAAGCCTTGTAATATTTATCAAGAATAAACAAAACAAATGTCCAGATATTTTCATATCCATAGATACAGAAGGATACATTTTTACGTAGAAACAAAGCATAAGGGATATAAATAAAACCACTCACATTTGGCACTCAAACAAGACCCAGCACGGGAATATCAACAATTCCGAAGGTAATGACACTCTCTGGATATATGATAATGCGATTATTATCATGGCCCATGATAAAAGATGAAAATAACTTATCAAAAAATATGAGGACGCGACAATAAGTTATGGTGCCCTCCGAGTCTGCTGTAATAACGTCGTATGAGAGGAAAAATATTCGATGAAATGTGATCTGTAATTAGTCTTTATTATTTCCCTTATTCCACTTTTTGGAGAGACAACATCTCCATCTCAATATAAATCACCATTTTTCGCAACGACCGTCTTAATTATGATAAGTTTATTAGAATATTAAACCTATTCCGCTGTACTGTTGTGATCCAATATAGAGTCTGAGACCGAGCGAGTAACTTGGTGGCGTAGTGGATAAGAGCCGTGGCCCGAGATCGTTATTGTTAAGCAACTTTCGCAGGGGTCGGCCATGGGATGGGTGATCAAAAAATATTATCTCGAGCTACTCCGCGCTTTCAAAGGCATGTTAAGCCGTTGGTCCCAGCTGCGTCTGTAGTCGTTATTACCCTCCAATCTGCATTTAGCCCGCGCGGAGAGTCATGATAGTCTGAATTTAAGAATTAATTTCGCTTTAATAAACTCTGTTCTAACATCTCTGTCAGAACATCTGCTATTCGGCGGGAAATTGTAATTTTGTAATCATAGCTATTATCATCACGTCAATCGTACAATGACCACGCTCATTACGCTGGGCCTATGCCTATAGGCCTAAGGCCTATGGGTCCCCACGACGATCGGTCCTATGCCACCCAGCCAGGTGCAATTTAAATGTAAAAGATTCCAGTCGGCATGTTTCTCCTGCATTTCGACAATCACTGATCGTATTCTGTTAGATTTGCTTTGTAAGACAAATGCGCTTTCGAATGTAAGTTACATTATAAAATACTAGTAGCAGTCCTGAATTGGCAGTATGAGGACAAAGATTTGCTTTTTAAACTATGATAATGAAATATACAAAAAGGTCACAAATTATAGAAAAAAAAAATCCGACTGAAAATGTTCATATTTAGAGAAACAATACATCGAGCTGTCACTGTCATAGGTGAATTTCATTCCGATTCGAAGCTGTTCCATTACGTTGCTTTCCAGAAGTAATTTGTAACTAAATCAATGCTATCGGTAAATATAAAATAACCTTGGGGCAAATTTAAAACATGTTTATCTTTTTGTGAAACGGAATGAGCGCAGTATGGATACTGGCAAGTCGCGAATCACCCGCAGTGCTCCATTACGTGAACATAAATTGAGCAAATTTTTTTTTATTGAGCACGCCAAATCGTCAGTGTCACGAAAGGGTAGCTACATTCATACTTCACAATAGCAAGAAACCGCAAGGTTACATACAGCCTTTTGTTAGTACAACGAAAATAATGGTTTACAGAGATTTGACCATATTGTGACTTTGGCTGTGTTTTAGGAAATAATAGAGCAGACACTAGTATTGGTAAAAGATACCTAACAAATTACAACAGTATCTTTCTAATTTCTTGCTTTGCTTGCACTGAACTTTTCAAAAGTTTTGTCTTGTGACGTATCATGTTACGGGATAACGTCTTTACATCAATATATATCATAAAAGAGATGTAAAATTTTCAACAAACTGCGGGTCTTATCTACCAATTTTACTAAAAAGAAAGATCGTTTTAAAATTTTCATTTAGTCCGTAATATTTTCTGTACCTAAAACAGTTAATCTGAAGTGCGGTTTGTACGTCAGACAATACATCCTTCAAAATGTTATCAAGTACAATTTCCGGTTTGCAAAGTCTCTTCCTACACGATGCTCAGTACTAAACGCATGTCCGAACAAGCAAGTTAGCTTCCTGGTAGTACACATATACAACAACATTCAGCCACCGCACACTCGGTGGACTTTGTAAGCCGACCGGTCCGTTCCAGCCGAGAATTTCATTAATTCATGATACTTTTCCCTTGACCTCTCCCACTTCAGAGAATTTTAAAACCCAACATTTTCAAGTGGAAGCTCGTCGAATTCCTTACAATATAGTTGGCGAATGTTATGAATAAACTGTTTTAAGTAGCTCAACTATTTCTCTCAAACCAATCTCAACAAATGAATGGCGTACGGCTCCCGTTTCAAAAGCAAATATGCTGCAGTCTGTTATAACAATAGTTTTAAAACTAATTTATTACAGTTGTAATTGTTATGTTCAGATAGTGAATTGTGAAATCATTTGTAGAAACTTGAACTTTGGTATTAGATGATTCTCGTACTTACATTGCCCCTCACAATTGATCTACAATTCGACATCTCTCAGAATGACATCTAGTGTCTGTGTTCATATCTGTGATTTAAGCTCACGCTCTAGTTTACCTGACTGATTGCAATCGAACCTGATACGATTTCAATTGTTATCTCGATTGACACGTTCGGTGTGAAATCAGTACAGACGATGATTCGAAACAGTTAATCAACATTGTTTTGTATCAAAGCATTTGTTTCGTCGGGATTCAATGGCAAATTAGAAATTATAATAGCTTTATTATAATATTGTTTATCGATACTAATATTTTAAAGAAGAATGAAACGATTTATAGTTTGTTTGCATTAAATAGGCTTCGAAACTACCGGATAGATTTTAAAAATTATTTCACTTACCGTAAGCAAATTTACGCTGTTATATTCGCGGAAACAACTAGTTAAATACATTTACAGCTTTGGAAATTGGAAATTGTAGATCCGTAATATTTCTATACGAATACCTACAATTAGCTTCTGTAATAGTATTAGTAAGATAACACAACTTCTGTACCCTACAAGGGATGCAGAGAGAAGAGTGATATCATAATCAGTCTATTAAGGTCTCCACTGCTGGGGCATAGGTTTTCTATGAATGGAATTGAACCAAATCGAATAGGGAGAATGGGTCATGACCACCACGAGGTCCCAGTGCGGATTGGTGGGTGTTAAAGACTGCAGATGCAGCCAGGATCGACGGCTTAATATGTCCTTCAAAGCACGGAGGAGCTCGAGATAATAAGCGAAAGTTGCTTAAGAACCGTATAGCAGATCGAGCGCAGTAACCACTGAGCTATTAAGCTCTTCAAGAATAATATAGTACTTACTAATGATAAAGCAAAGTACAATGCCGGATAGTACAGTATATGGTGTAGTGTAGTATAGTATACCAAAAAAACAAATATCTATGAAAGTCAATTTATGTTTCGCAGTGCGATTCACTCGTCTCTTGCCGGAACAATTATTCAACAAATTAGGAGTGCCGACCTTCACCGGCAAACTCACCGCGGAAACGTAATTTCCTCCCGCAATGTTTTCCTGCCGCCGCCGGCGGCTCTCGAGCGGATGTTATGTTCGTATAGAAAAGCTTGTAAAGAATTAAATTCACACGCGGATGTGACTTTTAGTCTTAAGGGAGTATGACTCAACAACTACCGTGTATTGATGTTCATG